GGTATCGTTTTTAAGGCACAAGGCGGAAGACCTTGCAAGATTCAAAGAAATGAGATCGCCTCCAGACGAATCAGGAAGTAAGCCCATCCGGTTGAGGACGATGGGTGGTGGGGACTTCCCCTTGCCAGAATCTGCCCGTCTCACAGGCATCATAGCCAGGCTCTGACTCTTAGTGGCAGTCCTTGACTTACGACCACAACTGGGCCTCAAATTTTTTGTTGCTGAGCGAGACTTCTCAGAAAACAACTGAATGGAAAACTGCTGTTGACCTTCTACCGCTACACCAGGGGTGTCCAACCTTGGCAACTTTAAGACTTGTGGACTTCAACTCGCAGAATTCCTCAGCCGAAGTCCACAAGTCTTAAAGTTGCCACGGTTGGACACCCCTGCGCTACACCATAGAGTGTATCTTAACATCCTGCACCTCTGTATGGTTTGCCAATGGCACAGGGGCAGATAGGATGTCACTCCAGAGGGTGAACGTCATTGCCCAGAGGATCATGGGTTGCCCTCTCCCCTCTTTGGAAGAGCTTCATAGCTCCCGCTGCCTTAAGAAAGTTCAAAACATCCTCAAAGATCCATCTCATCCTGGGCACCCTTTTTTTTTTTTTTGAACTATTACCATCTGGCAGCCGGTACATGATAATAATAAAAACAAGGACAAATAGGCTGAAAAACAGCTTCTATCCCAGGGCAGTAGCTCTTTTGAATTCTGCTGTATAGCGCAGTGTTGGTGTGGTGTCTGGGGTTTCCAGTTCAATGTGTGGAAGGTGAAGGATGTGTGGTTGTGTTTATTTTCATGGTCATGATGTGCACTGGTTTGATTTCGTTGAACAAGGTGCAATGACTATAACAAAGTAAATTAAACTACCGTATATACTCGAGTATAAGTCGACCCGAATATAAGCCAAGGCACCTAATTTTACACAAAAAACTGGGAAAACTTATTGACTCGAGTATAAGCCGAGGGTGGGAAATGCAGCAGCTACTGGTAAATTTCAAAAATAAAAATAATTTGAGAAACGATCTCACTATCATGAAAGGTTTAATTGATTCACTAACCCAAAAGAAGAAGATGATGACGACAGCGGGAGGCAGGAGTCACTCTCTTCCCCTCCCTCGGAGGCCCCCTGAGTCAGGAGTCACTACCACTGGCGCGGCCCCAGTCCCGCCGCCTCGGGAAGGGAAAGGCAAAGCGCTTTTTGCCTTTCCCTTCCCGGCTGGGGCTGTTGGGAGTCGCTGCTGCCGGAGGCCGCGACTCCACACCATTTTTTTTTTCCAGAGGCGAATCTGACTCGAGTATAAGCCGAGGGGGATTTTTTCAGCACAAAAAATGGGCTGAAAAACTAGGCTTATACTCGAGTATATACAGTAAGTTAGTAACCCCGTTGTTAGTAACCCCGTTGTTAAGTGAATCTGGCTTCCCTGCTGACTTTGCTTGTCGGAAGGTCGCAAAGAGGGATCACGTGACACACACACACCCCCGGGCCATCATAAATATGAGTCAGTTGCCACAGGTCAGAATTTTGATCACATGATCCCAGGGATGCTTGCAATGGCCGTAAGTGTGAAAAACGGTCAGTTGTTTTTTTTCCAGGCTGTTGTAACTTCAGTCATTAGAACCAACGGTTGTAAGTCAAGGACCGTCTGTATTTATAAACGGTGTGTAAGGTCACCTCTTTTGCGTAACCGCGCCATGTGCTAAGACAGTTTCCTTCCACCCCACACCCGAGGGCCTTCCATGTGCACTGGATTACAAGGCCCATTACCCTGAGCTGCACTCTGCCTGGGATTGAATTGTATCCTCAACCTTAATCCCGTCTGGAAGCTGTCACGCTAGGAAGGCTAATGTTACATATGGGTGTGTAAGGTTTCTCAGTCAAGATGATGAGGGGACTGGAGGCTGAAATATACAATGAACCTTTGCAGGAACTGGGCCTGGCTAGTCTAGGGAAGAGAAGGACCAGGGGAGGCAGGAGAGCATCTTCCAATATTTGAGGGGCTGCCCCAGAGAGGAGGAGGGGGGTCAAGCTATTATCCAAGGCACCTGAAGGCCAGACAAGGAATAATGGATGGAAACTGACCAAGGAGAGATTCAACCTGGAAATAAGGAGGAATTTTCTGACAGTGAGAACAATCCACCCATGGAACAGAAGTTGCCTTCAGAAGTTGTGGGAGCTTCATCCCAGGAAAATGCCGGAGACGGGACAGTTGATGTGAAGACAGGTTGGGAATGGCTGACCAACGGCGTGCATGAAGAACGGGGGAGAGAAGCAGCCACAGGGGAGGGGTGGAAGGTCAGCAGTGAGTAGCTTTGCTAGAGTTGGTGTAACTACAGATAGTCCCTGAGAACAGTGACTTAGGAGTGTTTTTCACACTTATGGCTATTATAGCATCCCAACAGTCACCTGATTCAGATTCAAAATTCAGACACTTGGCAACTGGTTCCTATTTATGACGGTTGCAGGGCCCTGGGGTCATGGGATCCCCTTTTGTGACCTTCTGATAAGCGAAGTCAAATGGGAAGGCAGATCCCCTTAACAGCCCTGCTCCTAACTGAACAATTGCAAGGATTCCCTTGAACAACTCCTGCCAGACAGGTCATAAAATGAGGCAAAACTTACTTAACAAGCTGTCTTGCTTAACAATAAAAGCCTTGGGCTCAATTCTGGTTGTATGTCGAGGGTGGCCTGTAAATGCAGCTTAAAAAACACCCCCAAGACTACGGCATAATTTTTTTTTTTTTTTAATTTCTCTGAGCTGAACTAGCTCAAGTTCTCTCTGTTCATTTAGCAACCATTTTAAGTTACCACAACACTGGAGAAAGAAAAAAAAAGACTTGTAACCACTACTCGCGCTTACAACGATCACAGCACGCCCAAGGTCACCTGAACAAAATTTGGGCACAAATACACAACCAGTGAGTATTTACAACGGTTCTGCAGCCTCCCTGGGTCACATGATTGTTATTTGTGATCTTGCCAGCTGGCACCCAACAAGCAAAGACAATTGGGGAGTGTTGGATTCAATTTAACAGCCATGTGATTCATTTAAAAACTTCAGGGATTCCCTTAACCACCAGGACAAAAAGGTGGTAAAATAGGGCATAACTCATTTAATGCCCACCTCGCTCAGCAATGGAAATTCTAGTTGTTAAGTCGAGGATTTGTGGCTTTTTTAAAATCCAAAATGATATTATATAGCACAGACACCCCATCTAGTATTCCTCCCCGTGAACCCTGCGGAGAGGGTCCTAGCCCCCTTTGTATTTGAGAGAAACACGAACTAAGGTTTCCACCACCTAGTAAAGCACCTTCCTCCTCGACCTTTATGCTGAAAGGGAAGGATTGGCCCAAAGTCCATCAGGGAGGGCGGAGGCCTAAGGTTTGGTCTAGTGGTTAAGACACCAGGCTAGAAAACAGGAGACTGGGAGTTCTAGTCCCGGCTTAGGCACAAAAGCTGGCTGGGTGACTCTGGGTCAATCACCTGGAGACAATGAGTTCTAGTCCTGCTTTTCAGGCATGAAACCAAGCTGGGTGACTCTGGGTCAAGCACCAGGAGATGGTGAATTCCAGTCCTGCCTTAGCCATGAAAGTTGGCTAGGTGACTTTGGAGTTTGGATCAATCACCAGGAGACAGAGAGTTCTAGTCCTGCCTTCAGCATGAAAGTCAGCTGGGTGACTCTGGGTCAATCATCAGGAAACGGTGAGTTCTAGTCCTGCCTTAGGCCTGAAAGCAGGCTGGGTGACTTTGGGCCAGTCCCTCTCTCAGACCAACCCACCTCACAGGGTTGGTGTTGTTGTGGAGAAAATAGTAGGAGGGGTATGTGTTGGGTATTCTCCTCTGCCTTGAGTTATTTGTAAAAATAATAAAGTTGGGATGCAAATAAACAAAGATAAATAGAGCCAAGCCTCCCTGCTCCTACACCAGACACTTATTCTCTCTTCCACGCAGCCCCATCCAGCCTTTCACAATCTAAACGCTTGTTGGTTCCATAAAGACTCTAAGATCCATCATTCCCAACAACCAAAAGCCTGCATGCTAGGCAGGCTGACGCTTTCCATTACCCATCACTACAAGAAAGGAAATGCCAAGAGCAAATTCTGAGGTTACAATCTGTACACCAAAAGCTGGGGAAACATAGGCTGGCTGTGGATGATGGGAGCTGCTTGCAGATTAAAACATTCAGGGCTGCGGACGATAGTGGCGTCCTATCCATGGGAGAGCAGCCAAGGGTTGAAAGTGCAGCGGGGGGGCGGGGATAATGGGAACTGTCTCAAACCTCTTGAAGGGAGAAAAAAAATAGGGATAGGAGTTGGGGATGATGGGATCTGGCACCCAGATGAATAGGGGCCACTCAGAGAGCCAGAATGGAAATTGCAAGCGAAGCAGCAAAAAAATATGGGCAGAGCCAGGTGTGGGTGTGAGGGACGATGGGATCCTATCAGCCCCAAACTCTAGATCTGTGGAGGGTCTGGAGGAGTGTGAAGTTGGGGACCATGGGAGTTGTAATGGGATCCCATCATCCCCAACCTCTAGATCTACGGAGATTCTGGGGGCTAGGGACGATGGGAATTGTAATCCAAGGCACAAAACACAGGGCTGGGGAAAGGAATACAAAGTAAATAAATAGGGCTGCCGTCCGGGGGCCGGTGGGAGTCATATGGGGAAAGGGGGGGGGAGGGAATACTAATTCAAGTGGGAGGTGTTGCTGCTGCTGCTGCGAACGATGGGAGGTGTAGTCCCGGCGCACGTGCACAGAACCGCGCAGGCCGGGAGCGATGGGAGGTGTAGTCCGGCGCCTCGGCATACCTCGAGTGGAGGGTCCGTTCTCCCCCCCTTCCGCCCTGCCGGATGCCCGCCCCCCCCCCCCCCCCCCCCCCCCGGCCCCGCCCCCCCCCCCGCCTCTTCCGCCCTCCTTTTCCTTCTCGCCCTCCCCTCCAGAAGGCCGGAAGTGCCCCTCCCGGGAAGAAGCCGCGCTGGGCCCGGCCTGGCCTCACCTCATCCTGCAATTCCTCGGCGGCGTCGGTGGCACCAGCGGTGGCGGCGGCAGCGAGACCTCCTCCTCCTCAGCCGCCGCCATCTTGACACTCTTCCCCCCCCCCCCCCCTCCGAGCCCCCTCCCTCCGGCTTCCTCGAGGCTCCGCCCCTCCTCGCCCCTCGCGAGGCGGGGTCCTGGCAGCACCCGCCGACGCCCTTTCGCCCACTTAAAAAAAAACTCACCGGGGCAGCACTTAGAAATTCTCCCGTCCGCTCATCCGACAGGCTCCTTGCTAGCTGTTAACTCTTCGAAGAGGAAAGAGGCAGAGTGAATTCCATAGGAAGCGCGCGGGCCGATTCGAGGTAGGAAAATCGACTACACCCCTTCCAGGACCGTGCGGCACCAATTAAGCGAACTCTACGGTGGGGACGCTTCGGGCGGCGAGCGGGGGGGGGAGAAGAGTCGGAGAGGCGCGCTGGCCAATAGGGATGCCAAGGTGGAGGGGCGTGGCCCCGAGCAGCCAGCCAATGGGAAGGAGCAACTAAGGCGGCCTCTGAGGTGAAGGCGATAAGGGGGGCTTTGTAGGGACCTGGTGGACTATAGACATAACAAAAGTACAGAGAGACACGTGCGAAAGATATTGCGACATGATCCTTTAGAAACTTGTTTTGGCAAAATATACTATATTTTCCAGCGCTTCCAGCTCTAAATTGAAGAATTTTATTGGCTTTTGCTGATTATTATTTTTAAACGGCGCCAGATATTAATCTGCAATCAAAACATAGAAAGACTTTTAAAAAACTGATTAAAATAACTCTTTTCTATACGGTCGGCTAGAAATAAGATTGTTCTTTCTGGAAAAAATTTTTGCAACTTTTGCTTAACCTCTTTAAATCCATGGAGGCTCTGAATTCTATTCCCCGGAATAATAAACCAAAAAAAAAAAAAAAGGCTTCTTCTGTAAACTTTGCATCTGGGTATCCCAGCAAGAGATAACCCTCTTCACTTTCTTAAATCTATGGGCTAGATACTTCCGGCTGTACTTGAGGATGAGGTCACGTCCAATCAGAGAGCAGGAACGGTGAGCAGCCCTCCCCAACGCCATTGGAGGGCGGGAAATCACTACCCCCCCCCCTTACAACCCATTAGAATATAGCATTCTTGCCTAAATTCATTAAGAAATCAAGGCAAGGAAGAGGGAGGGGCAAAGTCTCCTGGAATTAAAGAGCAACTTAATTTAATTAGCCCTTAATTGAAAATCAGCAAAAACTCTTTTGCACAACGTTAATTATATGGGTGGGTTTGGGTTAGCAACTTGCTCAAGGATTTTGGCTTCAGTCCTAACCATATTGGCAAGTTCATACACAACACAGCGTTGTTCACCCACCATGCTACTCTGCAGCCAAAACTTGAGTTCTTAAATCAACTATCATTGCCAAGAAATACATTCCTGTATAGTTTGGCAAAGTAAAGATCTGTAGACTTCAATTCCCAGAAATCCCTAGTAAACCTGGGGAATTCTGGGAGTGGAAGTCCACCCCTCTTCAAGCAGGGAGATTCTGGGAGTGGAAGTCCACCCACTGTAAAGCATGCTGGCTGGGGGATTCTGGGAGTGGAATCCACCCCTCTTCAAGCCTGCTGGCTGGGGGATTCTTGAAGTGTAAGTCCACACCCATCCTAAAGCATAGCATGTTGGCTGGGGGATTCTGGGATGTGAAGTACACACACCTTCAAATTGCCACAGTTGGGAAATACTGTATTTACACATTCAAAGCACAGTAGATTTATTCAGGATGGAAAAATAAACACATTGCGTGATAGTTTTACAGACTTTGCAAAGTCAGCCCAAAAATAGTAAGGAAAAAAAACCTACCATTTTCCAAGGAAATTGTTAACAATTGATTCTGTAGAACAAGGAAATCCATCTATGGGTACAAACAACATACCAGCAGTAATGTGAAAGTCCCGTTTGATTTGGATTACAAATTCCAGGCAAAAATTGTGAGAACGCATCTTGAGTTGCAGCAAAATAAGTGTAGCATTCTCAATTTGCAAGCCAATAAGAGCTATACATTTCTTCCAATTACACTAATAAATAGCCACTTTGGTTTAGTGGTTAAGGCACCAAGCTAGAAACCTAGTGAGTTCTAGGCCTGCTTTAGCCATGAAAGCTAATTGGGTGAATCACCAGGCGATAGTGAGTACTAGTCCTATCTTAGGCATAAAAGCCAGATGGATGATTTTGAGCTTTTTCAGGCCAGCATACCTTAAAGGGTTGTTGTTGTTAAGAAAAATGGAGGAAGGAGGAGGATGATTTGGCATGTTTGGTCATGACTTATTTATAAAAGTCATAAAGGCAGGATATAAATAAAATGTAAAGTAATATTCTGTCACAGTGGTTCTCAAAGTCTGGTTTGGGAACCCCTTAGAATCCCTAGCCCAAGACCCTTTCAGTGGTTGCCCCAAATACAAAAATTTCTTTCCAGATTTGTTTTCATTTCTAATAGAGTAAAATTGATAGACATAACCATATAAAGCAAAGCTCTTTGGGCCCAGAGTTTGTTTTAATACTATAAAAGGATCCTGAATCTAAAAGATTTGAGAAGAGCTGTTCTATTAGATTGAGCCAATCAAAGATCCATTTTAATTTCACCTGCCAGTGTTTTTTTTAGAGACCACAACTGCACCCTTATTTGAATGCTAATTTAAAAAAAAATGTTTGTAGCATAACACTTCAGGCATGAAGTGGCTTGTTTGTGAGTAACTCCTACTGGATTCATTTGTGCTTCTTTGGAGGCAGTGGGTATTCCACCCAAATACGTGTGGTTGGAGCTGAATGATCAGTTCATATTACACATACACTTGTATTGTGCAATGCAAGTTGTTTAAAGGTTATCGTAGAAGAGTCTAACTATTTTCCTTCTCAGTTGTATGATGTTGATGAAAACAACTGAAGATTCATAGCGGTCAATAATTATAATCATATTTCCTATGGCTGTAAATCAGGGGTGTCCAACCTTGACAATTTTATGACATATGGACTTCAATAGAATTCCCCAGGCAGCATGCTTTAAGACAGGTGGGTTTCCACTCCCAGAATTCCCCAGCCAGCATGCTTTAGGATGCCCAAGTTGGGACAGCTTGGAGAAAACTAATCAGGAAGAGATATTCAGACAACTGCACAATATTTGATTTTAAGGCTATGCCTACCAAGCAAAGGAAATATATCGGTTTTATTCTATTTATTTATTAAGATTTTTATTTATTGATTTGTCAATTGCTTATAAGGTAATAGGAATAAGTATAAACATGAGTAAGAATACAGGAAATAGGTATTTATTTATCCCACCTTTATTATAAGTTATTGGAGGTGGTAAACATACATAACATTCCTTCTTTGGCTTATGTTCCTCAAAACAACAACTCTGTGAGGAGGGTCAGTTGGGCTGAGAGTGTATGACTGGCCTAAACTCACCCTGCCAGCTTTCACAACTAGGGCAGGACTAGAACCCACTGTCTCCTGGTCATTGGCACAAAATCATGCAGCTGGCTTTCATGCATCAGATGGAACTAGAATTCACTGTCTTCTGGTGATTGGCCCAAATTCACCCAGATGGCTCTCACGTCAGGACTAGAACTCTCCTAGTCTCTAGATCAGCACTTTATCCACTAGGTCAGATTGCCTCTCATTTCCTTTTGTCAGATGTCTGATTATCCCACTTTGGACTGACAAGCAGCATGTAAAAAGTCTTCAAAGAAATGTTATATTTAAACAGATAAACTGTATCTCCAGCAAGCAAGTGGAAAATAGCTTCAGAAGTTTTGGAAGGATTTTGATTTCCAGTGAGAACGTTTAAAACTTTGTAAAATTTTGTAAGGCAGGATGATTGCACAATAAGGACCTTTTCCTAAATTAAGCACAAATGGAGAATTTCCTTTCTAGCACAGATCAGAAATTTCAGTGGCAAATCCTTAATTCCTCTTCCCCTTTGTTTGCAAGCCAGCAAATAATAAGAGCAGCATAAATTTGAGTGCAAGGGGAAAAAAAACCTTCTGGAAATTTAAGGTTAGTCATGCATTGGTTATATAAACTTTGGAAGTTTGCCAGTGAGAGGAATCCTGTACATACTTAACAAAAAAATATCTTTGTAGGATTTTACATATATACATAGGATTGGTTGGTCAATTATTTATTTAAAAACTAATGATGCCCTACATATTTAAAGGTATTGATGAAAAGGCAAACATAACAACATTGTGAAGAAATCTGCAAATTCCAACTTCATTTTAATAAGACTTGGAAGGGAACACTATTAAAATCAGGCCATTCTAAGTAACCATACTCAAGACCAGATGGCAAAATACCTTTCTATTTATGTTGAATAAATCCAGATGTCCTCTCCAGAACAAGAATGTGGGAGCCTGTTATCCCAAAAGGAGAATATTGGTAGCTGCAGCTTGAACTGTAGGGTCCTAGGCACCCTCTGAGTTTGGTTGTTTTTGCAGATGTTTCAAGACCTGACTAGAGAATATCATCAGTGCTAGAAGGACAGTTTGCATAGAAGAGGAGGAAGATTGTGGAGTCCTTGGTGCTCTCTAAGTTTGGTTTTCATGTACTGTTCATGACCAGATTAGGAAACATCATCAGGGCTAGAAGGGAATGGGCTTTGTGGAGGGGAGGAGGAGCAGGAGAGGACTGTGGAGTCCTTAGTGCTCTCTGAGCTTGGTTACTTTTGTGGAAAGGGAACTTCAAGAGGACAGTGGTGTCACCCAAGCAGGAAAAGCCCAAAGGGAACATCAAGCCGGCCATAAAACAAACTTGCATAGGAAAAGGAATCAAATAAAAGGTATTAAAGAAGCCCCTTAGACAAAAGCCCAAATAATTAAGAAAACTAAGGAAACAAGAAAAGAAAACCCTTACAAACACAAGACATGCCAAATCAGCAAAACAGACAAAAGACACAAAATATATTGCAAAGGAGACAGACAGGAGATTGCCACAAAACAAATATAAGAAACCATTAAGCAAAAAAAAAAAAAAAGATTAGGACGAAACCGATAATCCAATCAAACCACCCCGCAAAGTTTGCCTTCTGCACCCCGCGGAGTTTACCCTCCGGAAGAAATGAAGACAACCCCTGACAGGATTTAAAACATTAAGAAATACAAACAAAAGCACACACACACAAAAGGAGAAAAGGTATAAAAAATCAGGGACTTAACATACAAAGCTAGCTAGCCCAGGAACGCAGACTTCTTGCTATATCTCGCCTTCCTGAAAAATAAAAAAGATCCAGCTTTCAAGCAGTTGTCTGTATCCTTGCACCAGAGCCCTCCCAGCGGGAAAATCGAATCCTCAGAAGAAAGGCATTTTGACAGCCTTTCAACACTTTCTTACAAGCATTTCATACCCAACTAGGGAATATCATCAGTGCTAGAAGGGAATGGAGTTTGCGGAGAGGAGGCAGCGATTTGGTGCTTTCTGAGTTTGGTTTTCTTAAAAAGTCTAATGGATTCACTAGGGAACATCATCGCTGCTAGAAGAGAGAGTGGGGAGGAGAGGACTATGGGGTCATTGATACTTTGTCAGCTTGGTTGTTTTCTTGCAGAAGTTTCATGACCCAATTAAGAGACATCATCAGGGCTAGAAGGGAGTGGGATTTGTGGAGAAGAGGAGAACTGTGAGGTCCTTGGTGCTCTCTGAGCTTGCTTTCTTGCAGACCTTTTGTGATCCAATTCAGTAACATCCTCAGGGCTAGAAAGAAGTAGGGTTTGTGAAGTAAGGAAGAGGAGGAAAAAGCAGGACGACTGTGGGGTTCCTGGTACTCTCCGAGCTTGTTTGCTTGAGGACATTTCATTACCCAACTAAATAACCTCATCAGCAAAGAACCAATAACTCCACAGCTTTTATCTCCAACAAATTCAATATTCCTGAATATAGTGCTATTTATCCATTGTTAATTTATCCACTAATAGATTATCTAGTTTTCTGGATTCTGCAACAACCTGAAATTAAGCGACACTTTGCAAAGGTGAAGTTCACACTGTATGAGAGAGTCCAATGTACTTTAGTGTCTCTGAGGAGTTTTGCCATGTATTTTTTCTTTTACGAATGAATTGGAAGGGATCAAAATTGAGATAGTTAAAAGGATGCAGGATGCTGCACCTGAGCTGCTGATCCAGGTATTGAAGCATTGTATTTGAAAGGAGGAACCAACCCAAAGGCGTTCAGATAAAAGATAGATTGTATCTTATCCTAGATTTGGTAATCAGCAACGGTTTTACAAGCCAGCTTGGAAATACCGAGAAAATACCATTTTCTCTAAAAGAATAAGAGGCGGAACCATTCGTTTGGGGTTCAGGTTTCCATCCGGACTTTCTTTGTCCCTTCCTCTTTTTTTTCTTCTTTCCTGCGTTTCAATGGCGACGAACGGCCCGTTTCTTTTCCTTTTTGCCGTTCTTTTGCTATCGTTGCTTTCTCGTTGGTGGCTGCAACGGTACCACGGCCTGAGGAAGTGGCGGCGGCCGGACCACCGGACGCTTTTCTCAGACGGCCCGGAGGCGTCAGCGACGGTGCGACGCGACATCCAGACCACCCGCGTCCTCTTCGTGACGGCGCACCCTGATGACGAAGCGATGTTCTTTGCCCCCACCATCCTCGCCTTGAAGTCGGCCAGCCTGTGGCTGCTCTGCGGCTCTACAGGTGAAGGGGCGGGGGGGGGGGGGGGAGAAGAGCGCTGCGGAGTTGCCTAGCAACCGCGGCTTCGGAATGCCCATCTTGCGCGCGGGGCTGAACGAGCTCACGCCATTGCGGAGTCTCTCTGACGTCATCTGACTTCGACCTTCCCAAGAGCTCCGCCCATCTCTAGCCTGTGTATTGCCTGAGTTAATAAAGGTCCGCCATTGAATGTGACGTCACTGAGCCTCAATTTGCCCTGTCTACAAAATGGGCATAAAAACCAAGCAGAAGTTGGTTCGTTGAGAGGCTTATATAGCCTAAAAAGACCGTCATAAGAACATGCCAGTTGCCAAGCCCCTAAAGTTTGGTCATGTGACCATGTCACTTAAGTCGTGTTTTAAGTCGGTTAAATAAAGAGAGAAAAGAAAACAAAGAAAATAGGAGAGGAAGCTCTGCAATAAACATCATTTTTCCCCAAACATAGTTGTTAAAAGAGCAAAAGTTAATAATGCAAGAGTAGGACTGGGATGTTGCAAGTCCCCCTCACTTGTGAAATCTTAATATGTAACCTTGGGCCATGGGTGACACTCTCAAACACCTTTTTCTATGGATTGAAGAAGAAAAATAAAATAAAATATACATGACTGGTACATTATTTTCTTAACAATAATATGGTTTATTCTTAATGGGGACTCCATCACTGGTGGTTTTCAATAAAAAGTTTTGTCCAGGATGATATAAAGACTCCTCCTGAGGAATGGGTTGGACTAGAAGACCTTCAAGATCCCTTCCAGCCCTGTAGGATTCTATGCTAGTCTCTCAGAATCAGACCATCCTACCTGGCCTGGTTGTGGTCTGGAGAAAAATGAAGGAGTGGGGGCCAGATACATTGCCTTGTATTCCTCAAAGGCAGGATAAAAACCAAGAATAGAATAGAATAAAATTCTTTATTGGCCAAGTGTGATTGGACACACAAGGAATTTGTCTTAGTGCAAATGCTCTCAGTGTACATAAAAGAAACATTCATCAAGAGTCAAGAATCATAAGGTACAATACTTAATAATAGTCATAGGTACAATAGAATAGAATAGAAGGACATAGGAATAGAATTTAAATAGGATGGGATGGGATGAGATGAGATGGAACCAGAGGTGGTATTCAGCAGGTTCTGACCAGTTCTGGAGAAACGGAGTGGAAATTTGGGGTAGTTCAGAGAACCAGCAAATACCACCTCTCAGTAGATATTTTACAGTATCCTTACCCTGCCACGCCCACTGAGCCACGCCCACAGAACAGGTAGTAAAAAAATTTGAATCCCACCACTGGATGGAACGGGATAGAGAATAGAATAAAGAACAAAATAAAGACTAGACTAGACTAGACTAGACATAGAATAGAATAGAATAGAATAGAATAGAATAGAATAAAGACTAGACTAGACTAGACTAGACTAGACTAGAATAGACTAGAATAGAATAGAATAGAATAGAATAGAATAGAAATAGAAAATTTTTCTTCCTCTTTTCAGCTATCAGGGTCTTGTTCCCAATGTCTCATTCTATTCTTTTTATTTTGATTGATTGATTGGGATAGGTTGCTCTGTAATGACAAGTTTTCCCCAAAAGCCATCACTCTGCTAAGCAAATAATTCCCTCAACACTGTTCAACTATTTACAAAGTCTGCACTACTATTACTATTTTTCCTAGTATGATTCGATTGCTTATTGTGCCCTGTAACTATTATTAAGTGTTGTTGTACCTGATGATTCTTGACAAATGTGTCTTTTCCTTTATGTGCACTGTGAGCATTTGCACCAAGATGAATTCCTTGTGTGTCCAATCACACTTGGCCAATAAAGAATTCTATTCTATTCTGTTCTATTCTATTGTATTCTGTTCTATTCTATTCATAGTCTTTTGAAATTTACTTACCTTTTTAGTAAGCATACATGTAGTCCTCGAGGTGCCACCATAATTGAGCCCAACATTTATGTTGCTAAGTGAAACATTTGTTCAGTGGTTCCCCCCATGTTGCGACCTTTCTTGCCACAGTTGTTAAGTGAATCATTGCATTTGTTAAGTTAGTCATATGGTCATTAAGTGAACCTGGCTTCCCCATTGACTTTGCTTGTCATAAGGTTGCAAAGGGGGAATCATATGACCCCGGGACACTGCGGCCGTCATAAATATGAACCAGTTGCCAAGCATCTAAATTTGGGGTCATAAGTGTGAAAAATGGTCATGGTTCACTTTTTTCAGCACCGCTGTAACTTCGAACGGCCACGAAACGAGGACTCGAGGACTACCTGTAAGTCTCTGCTGCCTCCCTCAAAACCGCCAAATGGGAGACAAATACATGATAAAACTTAGCCAGTGTCAGCCTTCAAGATTTTCTACTATTGCTTTGCATCTTTCGGCTGCCATAAGTAACGGGGGGAGGAGGGGGGATTGTCTGGGAAGAAAGCTGGAGGTGTTACATTCTTGTGTGGTGTAAATGAGGAGTGGGGGGGAGTATAAATTCCTGCTTTTAGGTTTCTATTTCTCGCTTAGCTTTCTTTTCTCTGTGCAGCTGCAAACTTTTATCAAAATATGCCAAGGTCAACTGACAGAGGCCTCATCACCACCTGAAGTTGTCCACATGATCATATCCAGAACTTTTAATTGGAAGAATCTTTTGAACTTTGGGGGGTGGGAACAATTCCATCACTTTGTATATGTGATTTGCACGCCTAATTTCTCAGATTCAGAATCCTACTTAATGCTTCCACTTCATTTTTCAGTAAAAGAATTCTTTTCTCTAATCTATGGAGTCTAAGTATTTCTTTCTTGGATTTTGAATGGAGCACAGACTGACAGCCAGTAAAACAAAAATGCAGCAATTCTTTTCCAGCACAGATTCTGTTCTTGTGGAGTCTTATTCTGTTCTTTCATTAACCTCTTCCTCTTTTGAGTCCTCCTCAGCGGCTTTAATTTTCTTTTTCCTGGGAATGTTTGTGCCAAAAAAAAAATTGGTAAATGAATAAATTCCAAATGGAGGCAAAAGAGGTGACTTTGATCTCTTTTCTATCATTCACAGGGAATTATTATCAGCAGGGAGAGATACGTAAAGCGGAACTGATCGAAAGCTGCAATGTTCTAAGGATCCCTGCTTCCCATGTAACCATCCTGGACCATAGGTAAGAATCATAGAGCTGGAAGGAATCATAGAGCTGACCTAAAAGATCATCAAGTCTGACCCTTACTACACCATCCCCAATATATGACTATGGGAAGTCCTCAGCTTAAGGGCACAATGGAGCCCAACATTTCCATGGCAAAGCAAGACAGTTGTTCAGTGAGTTGTGCCCCGTTTTACGACTCTTCTTGCCATCGTTGTTAAGTGAATCACTGCAATTATTTAAGCTGATAACACGGTTGTTAAGCAAATCCATCATAAGATTTGAGCCAGTTGCAAACGTCCGAATTTTGATCATGTGACTGTGGGGATGCTGCCATGGTCGTAAGTGTGAGAAACAGCCATAGATCATTTCTTTCCGTGCTGAGAAACAACACAATCCAGTTCGGATATATTACATGTATATGGCGAGAAAAAACGATTCTTGCGAGTTTACCAGATGGATGGCATGGGGAACAAAGCTGCTACAGAATCTGGTAGTTCTGCCAGAATAGGGGTGTCAAACTCAAGGCCTGAGGGCCGGATTTGGCCTGTGGAGTCAGCCTGGAAATATGAAAGGACCAGTCCACAGTACTTCTGTGGCTCCCCGTCCCTCGTTTTCACCCTCCATGGCCTTCTGCTAGCCAAAAACGGGCTGAAAATGGGCCGAAAACAGGCTGAAAATGGGCCCCAAATGGCTGAAAAATGTGCCGAGTCAGCCAAAAAGCGGGCCCAAAACAGCTGAAAAACAGGATAAAAAAGAGGCCCAAATGGCCCAAACCTGGGCCAAAATGGCCAGAAAAAAGGCAGAAAAACAGACCCAAAACAACTGAAAATGGGCCGAAATGTCCAAAAAACAGGCCCAAAAACAGGCTGAAATGGGCCCCAAATGGCTGAAAAATGGGCCAAGTCAGCCAAAAAGCGGGCCCAAAACAGCTAAAAAAGAGGCCCAAATGGCCCAAACCTGGGCCAAAATGGCCAGAAAAAAAGGCAGAAAAACAGACCCAAAACAACTGAAAACGGGCCAAAATGGGCAGAAAAGGAGGCATAAAAATGGGCCAAGATGCCCAATAAACAGCTGTAAAACAGGGCCAAAAAAGGCCAAAAAATAGCCCAAAATGGCCCAAATTGCCAAAAACTGGTCCAAAATGGGCAGAAAAAGAGGTAGAAAAACAGGTCAAAATGCCTAAAAAGGGGCTCAAAAATGGGCCCCAAATGGCTG